CTCTTACTAGTCATTGTATGCTTTTCATATTTAAAAATAGGGCTTGACATTAACTTTTATATATATATATCAAATATGGTCTAAAATATTAATATTAATTAAAGTAGCTCATAGTCTTGCAATGCACCTTTGCATTTTTTTAAATGTGAATTTCTTGGCATCCAAACTTGAGTATGTCTTATTTAGACGATTAAGGGTGTTGTAAATTTAAAATATGGTTAAAATATGGTACAAGTTTGAAAGGTGGATTTATTATGTCCTCTATTAATTTAATACTGAAAAAATTATAAAAAATAATTACATTTTATAATTTACATTTTATAGAATTATTTTGAAGACATTTTTAATTTTAATTACAGTGTACCTTTAAAACAAATCCTACCATTTAAAAGTGAAAGCCAAAGCTGATCATTAAAGAAATCAACTTAAGCCTACACCAAAAAAAGCAACTACATTATTTTTATTAGTTCTTCAAGTCAGAAACTTCCTACCTGCAGTGATGGGGTTGCTCACGTTTTCCACTGAAAGGAAAAATAAAAAAGCTTTTTTATATACAAAAGAAACTATATACATTTTTACAACAACAAACGACAACAACGACAACGACAACGACAACAACAACAACAACAACGACAACAACAACAACAACAACAACAATAAAACTTTTATGGCCAGTTTATTTTAAATCAATATACTCGTGACAAATGTATTATTTTACACTCTGTTGTTTTAGATTTAGGGCAGTGTTCTGCGTTCAGCACTCACTAGATTTGCGATTGTCCTCGTTCTCCCGATAAAGCCTCCTGACGCGCTCCACCAGCTCCCACTTCTCACAGCAGCCAGAGAAGCTTACAAAGTTCCTCGCCAGGATCTCCTTCAGCTGCCGGACAGTCAACTGCTCCACGTCATCCAGCGAGGACAGGTCTGACAGAGACGCTCTAGCCCGTCGCCGTGTCTGAGGACTAACCTGATAGTAACGGCACAGATAAAAACAATATTATAAAATAGAATATAATATGAAATTACATATTTGAGCATGAGACCAGAGAGCCAATGTGTAAATCAATGTGCCAACTGCCATTGTCTCACAGCAATCCTATTTGCTTTGTGTTTATCTTTTAATGGATGTTTAACAGCCATCAGCATTTTAAAGCTTTTAATATATAAAAAACAACACATACATTCATAAATATATACTTTGTATTCTATAATCTTTGCATTAAATAAAAAATAAATAAATAAATAAATAAATAAAAAACACTAACTACCGCCTCTAATGCATTATCTATGGGTGGAACATTGGGTGGGAATTGTGACATTGTTCTAGCTGCCATAAATCAAGTCTTTTTTTTTTTTTTTTGGTCAAATAAGTTTTATTGAAGACAGATTCAAAACGAAAAAGGATTTGCATGTTTGCTTATTTTGTCCACATATAACATAGGCAAAGCAAATTAAAATAAATAAATAAATTACAATACATTTAAAAAAAGGGGAAAACAATATGAAAATCATAATAATAAATAAATAAATAAATAAATAAAGCCCACCCACATACAAATGGAAATGGAAATGATGAAAAAAGCATATTAAAACATTACAGAAAGGATGCATTATTTCACAAGATTTTTTTTCGAAAATAACAGATAAAATGATTCCAAATATTGTCAAATTGTTTTAGCTTTTTTTTTTTTTTCAAATAGTATTATATTTGCTCCAAGTGTAACAGAGATGTTAAATGTAACTCATTTGTCCAAGCCACTGTTTACATGTAGCGGATTCCTTTTTCCCCAAAAAGTAGCTTCTTAGCAATAGTTGACCAATTTAAAAACTATGTGTGCAGCTCCACACCAGCTTTATGGCTGGCGTACGCACATCTTTTGTGCATGCCTGTTTTATTTCCATTGGCGACTCCTAGAAGTAGTTGTGTTAAATTGCACTCTACAAAGTGTCTTTGAGCCTTGCAATGGCAGCTGTATGAGACAGGTTCATCTAGCAGGTATATAAGGTTTCCATACCATACAGTTGACCAGCCAAACATTAAAGCGAAATTTGCAGTGGTCGCCTGTTTTCCCAATGTAATCTGAGCGATCTACTGCACGCACATTGCTATAAAGACACCATCTGAAGATGAATTTGCATGCGCGAATCAGAAACATATCCATTTAATAAATGTGCAAATAAAATAGTCTTTCTCATGATAAATAGTAGGCAAAATCTGATATTTAGCGGGGGGAAAAAAGAAGAATGAGTTCATCAGACGCTGGATTCGAACCGAGTTCATGCTCGAACGTATAAAAACATGATGACACGCGTATTACAAGCTGCGCCACTGAGACTGTTAAGGGTACTACAACATTTTACACCTATAAATCACACTATTTCTTTTTTAAATCCACACAGTGCGATGTTCAGACCCAACTGTGCTAACCGCATCAGCTAAACTCTCCCACTCTATTTTTTTCTTTTGTTGTAAATTCTGGAGGACAAACTTGCAAATAACACCGTTTTCCTCCGGTTTACCTCCGAAAGCAGCACCTTCAATTCACATTCTGTTCAAAGTTTCTCTTTTTGCTTGCTTTTGCCATTGCTTTTTTGTTGGGTTTTGCCAAAGTAGAGTCATTAGCATATTCATACGGGGGGTGGGGGGGGGGGCAGGGAGGGGTTTTGCGCTCGTGCATGTTGCGCTCAGTTTCACGTTCATTCGGATGTACAAAAGAACATGCGTGGGATTCAGCGTATGCAGTGTTTCATACATCTGAATTTTTTTCTGCGTACGCACATTTACAGCTTTGTGCGTACGCAATGTTTTAGTAGGATTTCCACGCAAGTCTTTGTACATGAGGCCCCAGAAGTTTCAACCATTGAGGACTAGCTTATTTCTGCTAATTATCATCTCCTTGGTTTTACTAAAACTGATCTCCAGTGAACTCCTTTTACACTAAGTTTGAAGCAAATTTATATAATTATAGTACAAGGTATCTCCTTTTGCTCCTATTTTAGTCAACCAGCCTTCAAGTGCCATATCATCTGCGTATTTAAATAACTTAAAACCTAAATCCTGGATCTTAAGTTCATTTGTGTAAAGAGAAAAAAGTAAGGGTGATAAAATGCTTCCTTGTGGAACTCCTGCATTTACAATCATTGTTCTAGACACCATATCGTTAACAACTACTATTTGAGGACTATTTAAAAGGAAATCTATAATCCACCAAATAAGAACACATTTCACTCCTATAAATCAAGTAATCTTTGAAGGAAAATTTCTATCTGAATTGAATTAAAAGCGGAGCTAAAATCTAGAAATAAAATCTTAAATAAAAACTAGTTACAATATAAAGCAGGGATCAACAAACTTATTCCTGGAGGTCCGGCGTCCTGCAGATTTTAGCTCCAACAACAATCAAACACACCAAAACAAGCTAATCAAGGTCTTACTAGGTATACTTGAAACACCCAGGTAGGTGTGTTGGGGCAAATTGGAGCTAAACCCTGCAGGGCACCGAATCTCCAGGAACGAGATTGGTGACCCCTGATATAAAGAATCGACTAATAAGAAAGCTTTAAAGACTGTCAGAATTAAGGTCTTTGTGTAAAAAAATCCTACATAAAATAAACCTTGTAAATGCAAACCCTTTTTGTTTTGTTTACTATACATAGTTGAAGTCAGAATTATTGGCCCCCTTAAATTTTTAGACTGCTTGTTTATTTTTTCACCAATTTCTGTTTTACAGAGAGAAGATTTCTCCAACACATTTCTAAACATAATAGTTTTAATAACTCATTTCTAATAATAGATTTATTTTATCTTTGCCATGATGACAGTAAATAATATTTTACTAGATATTTATCAAGACTTTTCTACACAGCTTAAAAAGACATTTAAAGGCTTAACTAGGTTAATTAGGTTAACTAGGCAGGTTAGGGTACTTAGGCAAGTTATTGTATAACGATGGTTTGTTCAGTAGACAGTCGAGAAAAAAAAAAGCTTAAAGGGGCTAATAATTTTGACCTTGAAATGGTGTTTAAAAAAATTAAAAACTGCTTTTATTCTAGCCAAAATAAAACAAAAACTTCTGTTTTCCGGAAGAAAATATATTATCAGATATATAACGTGAAAACTTCCTTGCTCTGTTAAACATCATTAGGAAAATATTTTAAAAAGAAGAAAAAAAAAAATCAAAGGGGGCTAATAATTCTTACCTCAACTGTATATATTTTCTTGTTCTTTATCGTTTTGTATTCTGTTTGGCAATGTCAATTTTTCCACTGTTATGTTTGTTTCGATATTCAGATGCAAAATAGTAGCAGCAACAGCTGAGGAAAATGACGATAAAGAATAATAAAGAATCACACTATCTGCTGAAGTTTTCAGTCATTCATATTGTTGTATCGTCTAAATGCATGCATCTTGACATCAGATTTAATTACATCAAAAATATATCTGATACCTTTTAAATTGCATTTTCACTTATTGGAAAAGTTATAAAATCGCAAGAGATATTCTTATCACAACACTCAACAACATTGCATATTTTCCCTTGCTTTGTAATACTAATCATAGTTTAACCATGGTATATGTAGTAAAATTGTAGCTACACAACTGATAGTCATTGTGGAAAATTGATGGCTAATACACTCATACTATAATAAAAACACGGTTAGTTTTTTGTAGATGCACATCTATCATTTATCTATATGGCACTGTCAGCAGTGTTGCAATGTTTGTTGCAATGTTTGCAGCTCAAACATTAATCAAACTTCTCTTTTGCTCTTACATGAGGAACAAATCTGAACTTTAGTGTTAGTACAGTGAAAGGGAAAGATGTAAAATCAGTTTCTGGTGTCCATAGAGTGTGTATGTGAAGTTTCAGCTCAAAAATACCACACAAACAACTTTTTAAAACTTTCTCTTTTAGGCTTTTATCCTTATTGTGCCATTTTGGTGACTGTCTCTTTAAATTCAAATGAGATTGTGCTCCCAGTCCTCTTTTCAAACAAGGATGGAGCTACAAATACCTACGTGTCAGCATAGTGGCAGATTCCGTAGCATCCTATGCCAATTAGGAAGAGATTGTCACTAATGGGTGGGGATTTCCCACTTTGATGACACTTACAAATCCTCAATCAAAGTGTTTCTGCATGTTTTTTAAATGAAGTGTGATTATAAATAATAAAATGTATACATTTTTATCAATAGAAGCTAGATATACTCACAGACTGCTGCCACACAACTGTGTTTAAAACCCTTTATAGAAGTGATTTTTGCATAATAGGTTGCCTTTAAGACAGTAACTCACCTCTGGCGTGTGTTCTGTCTGGTCAAGGTTAAGGAGTGAGACTGAAGTGGAGTCCTCAATATCCTATCAGCAAGAAATGTTTACAAAGAAGGAATATAATTAGCTATCCATGCTAAGCTTTCGAGTACAGCTTTAGCAAGAATTCGACAGACTGACACAAATAAACACATCAGCCAAGCTTCTTTCGCATTAGTTTTAGTCTCTCGAGAGCATAAAATGTTACAAAGTAGACTTGAATTTAAAACTAAAACTGTGCAAACCAGTTCTGTCACACGCATTTGTGAACTAGACATTTTGAGAACAGATTTTTCTGCACTGCATTAACACTGTTAATGTGTGGCCAAAGGGTGTTCAGCCAATCAGCTGGTGTGCAAATTATATAAAATAGTGTTTCAGGTTGATTTGTAAACACAATAACCAGGCATGTGATGAGCCAAGGACAAAAAAGAAGGAAGACGAGATCTATTTAATAGGTTTATACAGTACTTTGAACTTAAGCGTTGGGACAGATTCACACACACTGCTGCTAAACAACTAGATTTAGTGCTCTTGTGCCCATAGAATATACATTTTCCTGTAATTTAGTTGACTCTTTATTTCACGTGAGAAATAAATAGTCAGTCAACAATTCAAACAGTTTAAACCATCAAATCGTTTAAAGGCCTTAAAATATTAAGTAGCCTAATATACTTTTACATTTCACGCAGAAAAAAAAAAATCATCACTAAAAAGAGTTTATAACTTTCACTTTCCCTTAGCGTAGTCCCCCCTCTCAAAAAAGAAAAAAGAGTTGACTTGATTTGTGCCAATCACAGTGGTCGGGTGATATGACCGATATTGATCTTGGAATATACAAAATTCCTAAAAACGTATTACATCCCTGAATAACTCACCATGGTCAAATAGTGAATGCCATGTCCTGACAAAACAAACAAAAACTAGTTTTAGTGATCTTAATATTTAAGATCATTAGTTCCTAAACAAAGCTCTTCAGTTTGCATGACATTGATGCTAACTTTATAAAGCTTTCCTAAAAAGAAAAGTTTTGTTTTTTTGTTTTGTTTACGCTCTCTAGGCCTGTCACGATAATTTTTTTTTTTTTTGTGCGATATATTGTCATAGAAATTATTGCGATAAGTGATATTATTGTCATTTTAAGACCAATTTAAGCCTGTTTATAGAATAATTCTACAACAGGATTGGCATAAACACCTTTAAGACACAAAAAAACAGATGTAAAATGACCTTTTGGCTTTAATGTAAATTCGTGAATCATTTTTTAGAAGTGGACTGCAGACTTGAGTATTTATTTTGAAACTGGTACTAGTTTTCCAGGAAAATGTGAAAATTCCTGTAAGTAAACAAAAGCTGACACCTCCAATGCAGATTAGATGAAATCACAGAAGCTGCATAATCTGCGTAAATTTTTAAGACATTCATTTATATGTAAACTTGATAGACAATATATATTGAGTGGCCAAATATTATTCAGGATCATGCCCATGTGTTTTGCTTGTTAGGTCGATATACTGATTATTGTGACAGGCCTTAAAACTCTCGTTTTTAGTCTTTTTTTTTTTTTCCAACTCCACTTATTTGACAACATTTTGTTTATCTATAAAAGATAGGAAGTAATGACCGGCTGGGAAGAAAAGCGTAGATTGACATGCTTCTATGAAACAACTCAACAATCAATTAGTCAACATCAGTGACTACTGTAACAAAACTATTGCACTGTGAAATCAGCATTACATACGAGAGAGAACGTTTTGAGTTTCCTGCCATAGCAGCCCCGGTTATTTCATAGCAAAAACAAACACAATCTAGAAACATTTTATACAATACACCTTTTCGAAAATAAAAAAAGGTTCCAGCGATATATATACAATGAAATTCTCAATAAATAAGCTTAATTTAAATTGCCAAACATCGCAAAGCCCAATTTAAAATAGAAAAATAAAATAGAAAAGTAGTATTAAAAGTATGTAAAAATGCTAGAAATATAAATCTTTTCTCATAATAGCTTATTGAGGTCGTTTCAATGCTTTATTTCTGTAATTCAGCACAGAAACTAAATTCTTTAGTTTTAGTTTAACACACTTGACCATTGGAAAAATGTAAAATAGTTTTCTGAATTACCATTCATTCGAAAAATGAATGAATTTTATTTTTTTTTAAACAACTTTGTTTCAGTTACATCTGTCTTCCACACTACTTCAGCATATTCTTCCCATGAAAACACAGCATTTTGAAATGGCTAAAGATCCCATTTTTGCTTGTAAATGCTAGGGCCCTATCACACACTCGGCGCGGCGCAATTGTTGTTTGCTAGTTTCAGCTCTGTGCAAGAGTCATTTTGACGTTTTGGGCCACGCTGTTTAAATAGCAAATGCATTTGCGCTCATATGTGCGCCCATAGGCGTTCTGGTCTAAAAAAGGAGACCAGATCAAAGCAGGTCTAAAGTCCAGCGCAGAGAGCGTTAGTTGTGCGTCTCGCTTGAACATTGCTTAATACACACAGGGTGTACAGCAATACGCAAATATCTTTTTTTACACATGAAAAAGAATTAAAGTATTAAAATATTACAACAATTATTTTCTAGCCTACATAAATATAAAAACCTCTATGCCTTCATCTCGGGGGGCTTTTTTAGTTTATTCATGACAATTTGCTTTTGTATAATGTTATTATTAGTAGTAGTATTATTTATTATATGCATATTTAAGTTTTTGTTTTATTAAAAACAAGCTTAGATTTGTCAACCTGTCAGGTTTTAGACCATATGGGGCATAGCACGTGTATTTTGATATAGCCCATTTTTTTTTAACACACTTCGTTATTATTGTTCATGTATTCATTTGCTGAAAATTAGAACTGAATTTAGAAATAGTTTTGAAACAAATATTTGCACTTAACAAACTAAATTAATTATGTATAGGCTAACTGATATCTGTGCGTACAACACGTTTCCTTATCCACGAGAGTGAAAGTAAATCATGAGGAGGCTCATTCTCTCATCCGCGCACTGTAGATACTCTGTTTAACTGTTTTCTCTCTAGTGAAGCATTCAGTTTTTCCATTTACAAAGTCCACTTTGTAAATAGCAAATGTGATATGGCGCAACGCAACTGACTCTTAAAGGGAATGGGAGATGAGACTCTGATTGGTTTATTCTCAAAACACACCTATAAGTCATTAAATGAATAAGCTCAACCCTGTTAGACCATGCGCCACGGCGCAAATCGGATTTTTTTAAAGCGGACACACCTTTAATGCACCCTGCGGTTTGGACTTTGCACCTGGATCGTCAAATTAGAGCCCCTAGTGTTCCTTTTTAGTATAGACGGACTGAAACACAACTTTTGAAAACAGAGATGCAGCTATCCAAAAATCCCCCTCTGATGCAGTCAATTAGTTCTAATCTTCTGGACGCACCTGATTGGTGGACTCGGAGCTGTTGCTCCTACTGATTGGTTCTCGAGTTGGAGAGAGTGCTGAGAGAGGGGAAGTGGGCTCTTCGATTAAAGGTGGTGGGCTATACAAAGGGTGGGACTGCAGAGAAGGTGTATCAGGATCATCCTCACTTTCTGCACCATGATGACAAAGCACCAAGTCCACAAGATCCTCCTTCTCCCTAAGAAGACAACAAAATGAGTCAAGAACACAAGCAATTTTTCATAATACACATGCACAAGTAGAAGAGATCTGTGCAGATGTACCTGCAGGTATCAGTGTTAATGTTGCGTAACATGAGGTACTGCCGCAGGTCTTTAACACGCAGACGCATGAGCTGCGACCGCTGGAATGCAGTGCCCTTCAGTAGGTGACAAGTTGTGCATCTGCGCAGGTTTTCTTGAAGAACCGAGCAGAGTGAACAGAAACTCTTCGTACAGTCACAACAGATGTACTACATTAGAGAAAAGGAAAAGAGACAGAGTTTGAGCTGAATCACAATTAGAAGACACAATGCGATTTGAAGATTGCAAATGTCTTATTTCAAGTTTGCTTGCATATGGGTCAAAGATAAAAAGGGTTTTAATTTAACAAAAGATTTAATATTATATTTGAAGAATTTAGATGCAAAAACCTTGAAGTTGTTCATCAAAAATTAGCATTTTACTCAGGCTGTTGTGTGCAGTTTCAGCAATTTTACTCTTATGGCAAAAAATAGGTTACTTTCATTGCCTTTAAAGTAAAATAACTGAACTTAAACCGCTAGTTTTAGAGAGGAAATTTCAGATGCCATTATCTTTTTGCATCTGAACTTGTCATTTTTCCCTACGTGATGTGAAGAAATAATGATTATATAATTTATACCTAAATGGCACCCACTAAAATGTCCTTCAGTGTTAGAGCAAAGAGCTTCAGATTAGGGCTGGGTGATATTGCAAACATTTTTTTGTCATTTAACCACTTTATTTTAATTGACCAACATCACAATAGTTTAAATGGTTAAAAAAAAACATTTTAACTAAATATCTGATCTCTTCATAATAGAAATAGTTCTTCATAAAAGAACTAACCATCATTATTCAAATACATATTGCAACATTACAAATTGTGTAGTTGAATGACAATATTACCCCTATGCTAAAAAAAATGTTTCATATGGGTAGCTAGTGGCTGGTATGCACAAGAAAAGAAACCGAAAAGCCACTCTGGCGACATCCTTACATGCTTGCTTATTTACAATCTCTTCACTGCTGCTATACGGAACTCATTTCGCATGTGTTGTCATTCTGACCTGAAGTGACAAGTGCAAGAGTGTAGATTCCTTCACCATTTTCTATAGCGTCTCTCGTAACTGGGCGACCATAACAGTTTTCTCAATTGGTCAAATAGAATGATAATTGGTCAACCATTACTGCAGCTCAAGTTTAAGAAGAAAAGTAAAAGGCACTACAGTGTTTGGATGCGCTGTGTTTGTCTGAGGTAATAAGTCTGCCATTACTGTGTATATTCCATAAATTGTGAAGCAGATTGGTTAGATCTACTTGCATGAATTGTGGTGCGTTCGCGGCATTCAGAAAAGATCCAATGTTTTTGAAAAATAACAAACTCACACCCTAAGCTTATTGGCATTGCTTCCAAGGTGCACACTCACCGGCCAAATTTTAATCAAACTATAGCCTTCATACTGAAACTTCATACCAAACTTTTTTTATCGTTATTGACAATGGTGTTTGGTCAATAAATAGATACTGATTTTATAGCCAGCCGTACTTTAGATTGCATTTCAGTCATTGAAAAATTCTCTGGTTAATTTAAAATCGGTTGTAAACTCACAGAATACAAAGATTATGTTTTTTTTTACATCTGATAAAAAAAAAACTATTAAAAGAGTAACTTTTTACAAGTACTTGGGTATCTGGATTTATAAGCTTTTTTTTTTTAATGTACACATTGGTGATCTAAATAGGAAGCCTGAAACTTGGCTTTTATTTAAAAAAAATTAATTTAATTTTACTTTTAATGCTAAAAAGAAACTTAGAAGCTACTTTTATGTGCTTATGATGATATATTATACATGTATGAGGCATCTTCTATTCTAACAAGACTTGATTCATGCTTCTACTTCCATTACAAATGCAAATTCTCTTCCTCATCACTGTATTTTATATGACATGGTTGGATTTCCGTCCACAGAAAACAGCACTGGTACATTTTTATCTATAAAGCTAGCTTAGGTAAACTTCCAGCTATCTTTATACTCTGCTTTGTCTTAGCTCTGGGAATTACCAGCTACGCTCTTCCAAGTGTTTGCTTTTTAACATACCTCGAGTTTGTACAGAGCTGGGTAAAACAACATTTTCTTATTGTGCACCTTGGGCAAGGAATATTTGCAAAAAATAGATAAAACTAAATAAAATTGTGTCTTTCTGTGAATTTAAAGGCCTTTTAAAGAGAGTGGTATTGGAATCGGTTTTGTTTAAATGCACCAAAATATATGACTCATATTCACTTAGAAATGGATAAAATATTAATTTTCAAAATGTACTTAATTATGCTGAGCACTGTATAACTTCATTTTAATCAAGTACATGTCCATCATGAAGGTCTTATCTTCTTAAATTAGAACTACATCAATATGAGAAAGCAATGTTTGTTTTAAACCACCTCATGGCGTCATGACTGAAATGAAAAGGCGGAAGAAGCATGTATGCAGATCTACATACCCTCCTCCTGAAGACAGAGAACGCTTGTCTACAGGCTTGACACACCAGGCTGGTGCTGTTGGAGTTGGCGGGCGGGTATGTGGAGTATCCGGCAGTAGGCGCGAAACGAAACGGCCCCGCACCTGCCCCGAAACCTGGCTGCTGCCCTCTTACGGCCCCAGTACCCATCACCTCATTCAGCAGACCACAGCATGATGCCCACATGGACGAGGCCCCCGCCTGCACACAAAACATTTGACAAACTTTACAGTCATTCAAAAATGTACTGGTGTACACAGAACGAAATTTCATTGTGTCAGCACAGCAGTTTAAAAAATAACAGTAAACAATAGACAGATTAGTAAATAGTAGGGCTGCAGTATCGATATCACAATGTGATCATTTGCAATAGTCGTATCGCAGATACACGCAATGTTGAGGTTGGACTTTAATTGATAATTTTGCCAATGTTTCTTGAGGCCTGTGACTGTGTGAGGGTTTTTAAATCATTCAGGCCTAAGAAATATAACTGTTTTTTAATTTGACAAATTAATAACGATTAATAAATTCTATTGAATTGCTTATAAATGTATTATTTTTCATTTGATTATTTAATTACTGTATACCTGAATACAGTTCAGCTCCTTGAAAAATAATAAAACGCTGTTTATAAAATTTTTATCTTTTTCTTTATTGAAATTATTCAATTTCAATCCCATTCAATTCATGTTTATTTTTATAGCACTTTAACAATGCAGATTGTGTCAAAGCAGTCTCACATAGAAGATTATAGTCAATTGTAACAGTGTCAGTTCAGTTTTCAGATTTAAGTTCAGTTCAGTTCAGTGTGGTTTAATATTCATTGCTGGGAATCCTTACACTGAGGAGCAAATCCATTACTACAAGTCCCAAACTATGCAAGCCAGTGGCAATTTTGTCTACGCTTGTAGATTGTTTATTTTATTTAATGCATAAGCACAGAATCATCGCAATCAGTCTAAAATTATTAACTCTTTCAAAATGGTTATTCAACATATCTTGTGAAATTGTATTCATATTACAATATATAAATGGCAGAAGAGGAAAAAAATCCCAATGTTAAATTTTTCCAATATAGTGCAGCTCTAATAAATAGTACAGAAAAAAATAATAATACATAATCATATTTATTAGGGATCCACAATATAGACCATTTTAATGTGGTTATCTCATTGGCACATGAACATTTCCTGCTCGTTGTTAAACTATTTCATAACTGTAACAAGAGGCAATTCAATCATAACTTGATGTTAAAACAGCTACCATAACATTATTTATCAATATGTGGCTCTTTTTGGATTCTCAGAAGCTATTGTAATTAAAAATATAAAACAGGAAATACAATTTGGGCCCATTGTTTTTGTTTACATCCCTCAAAATGGTCTATATCGCAGAATCCGCAGTACAAATTGGGATTATAATTAACTAGGAACCAGAGTTCAGTAGACCTGATTTGGGGAGTCAGTGGCGGAAAGAGCTGAATGCACTACAATTTAAAAAAAATATGCAATTAAAAAAAAAAAAAACATGCAATTTAAAAAAATATTTATAAAATATACAACATACAGGGTGGACCATTTATATGGATACACCTTAACAAAATGGGAATGGTTGGTGATATTAACATCCTGTTTGTGGCACATTAGTATATGTGAGGGGGCTTGTAAAAAACTCATGAAAGAATAAAGTTACGTTTAAAACCAAGCACACCATGGGTTTTCTTGTGAAATTCCCAATAAGTTTATTAAGGTGTATCAATATAAATGGCTCAACCTGTATATAAATAGAAGCAAATCCTCACAACACAAACAAGTAAACATACTTTAAGTAGTCAGATTGCAAACAAATAACAAACAAATAAAATTCTTGCATTTTCTCACAACAATGCAAATAGCACAGAACATAACGGAAATGTGATGGACCTGGCTGGGATTTGCTTATTGTGCCATGACTATTGCTCAGTGAAGTTGTAGGTGATCTTTGAAAGGTGAGTTTTTTTGTTTGTTTTATACCCAATTACATGATTCTCTTGTCTTTTGTATATTGTAAGCCCAAATAACCATAACCTAAACAGCCGGATCATGTTTTTAGGTCCCCTTGGAACATTTCAAAATCAAAAACACATATAAATGCAGGCATTTTCTTAATTAGTTTTCTTGATTATTGAATTTCTATACCTAGTAATGGACCATGAAGCACTGTTTATTTCATTTACATGTATCACATATATTTAATCTATCGTTTTCATCTGCTCTTTTTTTAGTACATTTTTGTATATTTTCTGCAGATTCACTTTTCTATAAAATCATTCCAGTCAATGTAAAAAGATGTGTTCTTTCCAAATGATTACTTAAGTCATCTAGTGAAATTTAAACATATTTTGATTTAAAACATAAATAAATTAAAAATAAAACAAATTTAAAAAAAATAGAAAAAATGAAAAAATAAAAATCACACAAAAACAAAACAACATCAGTTTTTCCAATATCATGCAGCCCTAATGTAGATCATATATTTTTGTTTATTGCTATGTCAGCAACAGCGGCTATTTTTTTAGCAAAAACATTTCATTGATAAATACACAATTAAAACCACAAACAAATGAATACATAAATTAGATACAATTTTTAACATTATTATGCAATAATCTACTTTTTTTCCTTTTGAAACTGCTGAATATTATTGTCAGGTTGGATCTGTGGTGCAAATCATAATAATACATACAAGTTTTAAGGTAAGATTGAAAATGTGAAAGTTTAGAATGAGAATTACAATAAAAATCAAAACAGGAAATGTGATCTGCACGCAAAACAACCTCAAGAATATTTAAAAACAAACCACGACTAAATTTACCGATACACACCCAACCAGGACCATCCCATGATTGAGGTAAAGCTGGTTTTATATTTTCACATTTGTTCATTTTTGAACAGTGACAACTTATGACACACTCCCTACATTGTTTACCATGCTACTCTGAATATTTGATCTGAAATCACATATAAGTAGGACAGTGAACAATGTTGGACTTTGCTAGTCATTAGCTGCTAATATGATTTCATCATTCAGAAACAGCAAAGAATATTTTTCTGAAATTATATTATGAAGGAGAATACGTATGTGGGTGGCACGGTGGCTCAGTGATTTGCACTGTCACCTCACAGCAGGAAGGTCACTGGTTCGAGTCCTGACCAGTTGGCATTTCTGTGTGGACTTTGAATGTGCTCACCGTGTTGGCATGGGTAAGTGCGTGTGTGAATGTATGTGTCAGACACTCAGAACCTGTCAAAAACCAAAGAAATGCTCTTTAACTTTGGCAAAAAAAACACCTGCTCTCCAAAGGGTGGTCATAAATGACACAGGTCAAAGTTGTGGAGGAATATAGGTACCTAGCGAGAACAATTATTGACAACAGGTTGAAATTTGATCAAAACACACAAACAATTATGAATAAGGCTCAAAGACTGCTTGTATCAACTTAAAAATCAACTCCTTTGATGTAGAAAAAGTTATTCTTAAGACCTTTTACAATTCATATATTGAAAGTATTTTGTCATTTTTCAACATATATTGAGCAGATATGTTGAGTGGATCCCCCTTAGGCGACATCTAAAGACAATAAGATGTTCAACAAATGGATATGAATTTACTTTTGTGCCTGAAGCAATTCGGTTATGTAATAAAATGTAGTTAACCAATGGACTATTATTATTATTAGTTATTATTATTATTGATTTTTTTATGTAATTTTTTTTTCTCAGTTTTTTGTTTGTGTACTTGATGACGGAGGTAAGTTGGTTTTATATTCACACATTCAGACTTTCACCTTTCTAATATAGTTTCCGAACATTGGCAAAGTCTAAATAGGGAAATCATATTAGCATATCAGACATGTTCACAGTCAATTAATGAGTACTCATGTTCTTTTGCTATCATTCTTACATGTGATTTCAGACCAAATATTTATAATAATAGCCTAAACAATGTAGGGATTGTGCCATAAGTTGTCACTCTTTAAAAATGGACGAATGTGTGAATATAAAACCAATTTTACCTCAACCACATTTCCTCTCCGACCCTAAAATTTGAAGGAAATCTGATTTGCAGCAGGATGGAAGTAAAATTTATTTCATATTCTTACATTCGTTCATTTAGCATTCTCTGTATTGTTAGTTTGAATATTCAATCGGAATTAGCATGCAAATATATATATATATATATATATATATATATATATATATATATATATATATATATATATATATATATTAGAAAGCTAATATATAAGAGAATAAGCCTAAGGTAAACGAATGAATGAACGTCTCAATCTAAAACCAACTTTACCCCAGTCATCCAATGGGAGTGTACCCACATGATAGCAATAGTAAATCTGAGCTTATGCGCTTTACTATCCCATATTTTCAGGATCATTCAGAATGTCCCATCCCGAAATAGTTCCCATTGACTGGGCTCAATCTCATTAGAGAAGGATGGGAATAAGGCTAAGCCATAACAAGGGATTAGTGTGCTTTAAATGACTTCTGACTGCAGCCCGAGCTCTTACTCAACAGAAAGTAACCATGGTGTTTATTTTATTTTCATAGGGAACCAACAACATAATCAAATCCCAATTGTCATTGTGAAGGATCAGTCCAGTTGCTGGGTCTCACCTCCCAACAAATGAAAACATGACAGCAGGGGAGTAAAAAACAAACAAACACATTACTGGGCAGATGCAATGATAACTGAATACTGATATATAACACAAACATGATGTCAGCTGCTAAACTGATGAGAGTCAATGCTAATACGCTTGTCATCAATGCATGGAATGCTAAACTGGCAATCAGCTGTTAGTTATCGAGCTGATAGCAAAGATAGCAGACTATCAACGCTAGCATTACAGACAGGGAAAACAGAAACAAGTTCAAAACTAATCAAGTATAACAGCAAATGTCTGTACCTTCATAGCAACTCCAGCACACCGCGGGGAGTCACCCAGCTGTTAGTAAAAGCAGCCTGTACATTGCTCGTGCACGGCTAACTCTTCATTTTTTTCTGTCGTTGTCTCTAAAGCCGCACCAGGAGGATCGCTATGCAACTGTAATGAAGCCTTTTCAGCCAACCACAGCGGTGGATATCAGTGTGACGCAATGCCAAGCAGCCAATTACCTCCTCTCTTCAGTAGTGCAGCGGAAGTTCTTGCTTTTAGATTTGAGTTTGTCGTGGAATTTGATCATAACACTTCACGTTTCGTATTTATTTGGAATTGTAGCGTGTTTGGAAAAACGATTGCACCTTTTAGAGTTGTACTCTTGTTTTTTACAAAATAGTTTTCCTAAGCTAAAAGTTACTATTGTGATTATAAATGGTTATAATATAATTTCAATGTGCAAAATCATTCATTTTTTCTTACGGCTTAGTCCCTTTATTCATCAGGGGTCGCTACAGCGGAATGAACCGCCAACCTATTCAACATGTTTTTACACAGCTGCCCTTTTAGCTACCCAGTATTGGGAAACAACCATACACACTCATTCACACGCATACACTATGGCCAGCTTATTCAATTCATGTTTTTGGACTGTGGAACACTTGAAGGAAACCCACGCCAACATGATGAGAACATGCAAACTCCACACAGTAATGCACACTGACTCAGCCGTAACTCAAACCAACAACCTTCTTGCTAACCGCTGAGCCACTTTGTCACTTTTTGGTTTGCACGTTTAGTTGCTTAACACTTACTGTCAAGCTGCAAGCTAATCATCAGGAAAATAAGGTAGGCTACCACAGGGTTCCATGCTAAGGATTGTTTTCCACTGGCCCAGCGAAAATTTTCACTGGTCCCACAAAAAAAGAAGAGAAAAGGTAATTTCTCAGCCAAATATTTTACATAATGTGTCAAAAAATACCATCTATAAATCTAGAATGTAAATATTAAAAGAAATGTTAATAAATGTATTTTTTTGCCATCAGTTTTTTTTTTTTGTGTAATATTGAACACAGAAAAACCATAGACGATCAGCATATAGCAGTGTGCAGACATACATATAATAACATATATAATAAATATACAGGTTGTTAAATAATAATAATAATAATAATAATAATAATAATAATAATAATAATAATATATACGCATAAAACAAATTTCCAAACCAAAAAAATCAATAAACCAAATTAGTATTTACGGTTAAGTGAGGGTAAAATTAAGCCAGTTAAAAATAAATAAATAAATAAAAGAATAGCAATCAACAAATAGATTAGGGTATTCAAAACCGTGCTGAAAGAGGTCTACGACAATAAAGAAAAGTTATTAGAAGCTCAAACATGGAACCCTAAACAATTACTATAAAGGAAAAAAAATTCAATAATAAAGAGGGAAAACTTTATTAATTAATTAAGAAAAATTTATGGGGCATGGAAGTTTTACTTTGGATGTCTCATTGATTCAAATTAGTAAACCTTTAAGTTAAAAAAAATGTATGGGTTAAAGTTAAAGGTTAACAAGGTTTGTGCCAAAAGTCTGATGGTGTCTTCTCTTGCACCATGAATGCAAGCAGTAGACATTTCCACATACACAATATCAATAAAAGTTAGAAAATTAATGTATTTTAATGTATTAATACATCCAAAGTGTTGTGGAAACAAAAAGAGCAGTATGGAAAAATGTGCAGGTATTTTACTGCAGTTCTAAATGATTTAACTAAAGGTGGCTGCTTTGCCAAACTGACAGCAAACTGTGCAAAACCTTGCTTATTTTTTTTAAATGTCTGTGTTCAAGATGTTAGCCTCATAATTTGATGTTGCCACCATGTTGCTGTCTCTTCGCTGTACTGGTAGTTACCAAGTTACGAACAAAAATAAAGTGCTAGCAACATCCAATCAGATAAGAGGAACTGAAAAGCAATATGGTGTTTACGAGGTCACAGAAACGGTAGCATTTAAAGGCTTAAAAGCACAAATAGTTTTTCGATTGTAAACCTGCATTTGCACGCAACTGACAAATAGTCGCACTGTCACAGACTAATTAAACTTTAGAAACAAGGCAACACTGGCCTAATCGTGCCAGTAACGATCCTGTCTACTGTCCCGAGCGTCTCTTACGCTGGCCCCGGGCCATCGGGCAGTCCTTATTGTTGAACCCTGTACTGTCAAACTACCCCTTTAAAAAAGTGCACTAGAAGTTATTTCCTAAAAGTAGCTAGTTACATTGAAGCTACTTCTTTTCAATATGACGTACATTACTAGTGAATAAACATTGAGGAGTTTTTAAAGCAAAACAGTACAATATGGTTATGGTGTCAAACCTTTATTTTTTTAATCACGTTTTAGATTTCTCAGAATGTCAAAGGACAAAATACAAAATGTAGCATTGCAATAATAAAATAATTAACTTATTAAACATACATTATCATCAACTGATGTAATAAATTAAATTATGCATGATATACCAATAGATGGCTGCAATTCACCGTTGTAGTGTGTGATCTTGTAAAGACGAAGTTCTGGTGCTTCAAGTCATTGTTGATTCACTGGAATGTGGCTGTTGTCAAGCTACACCACTACTTGCTGGAAGAAGTAACTACTGGAAAAGCTGCATTGTTTCTTAAGTAGCTGAGGTTCTGTCATGCTATTAAAAAATATAGCTAGTAGACGAGCTACTTAGCTAGCTACTCCTGTCAACGATGTCAATAGGTAGGTTCACTCAGATAGTGAATAATTAATTGGTGTCACTTGAGTCACAGGTCACTGTTGCTGTTCCAGCAGATGACAATCTATAATTGATACGTAGTTTTAGATTAAATTCAATCAAAATGTAAAGCTTTAGTCGTCACAGTGGCTTAGTGGGTAGCACTGTCGCCTCAAAGCAAGTAGGTTGCTAATTAAAGTCCTGCTAGCCCAGTTGGCATTTCTGTGTGGAGTTTGCATGTTCTCCCTGTGTTTGTGTGGGTTTTCTTTGGGGCGCTTTGGTTTTCCCCACAGTCCAAAGACATGCGGTATAGGTGAATTGAGGAAACAAATTTATTATTTATGTATTAGAGCGTGTGTGAATGGGAGTGTATTAGTGTTTCTCAGTACTGGGTTGTGGCTGGAATGGCATCCACTGTGTAAAGCATATGTCGAAATAGTTGGTGGTTCATTCCGCTGTGGTGACCCCTGATAAACAACTGACTAAGCCGAAGAAAAACGGATTGATGAATGCAAAGCTTTACGTATGAACAGAATCAGAAATGTGTTCAGGATGTGTCCAGTGTCTTTAAATAACGATCCAAATATAAACAATTTATTAACACTTGTTTTTTCCCCCTAGAAATAGTGCAATCTTCATCATTCAAAATTTGAAGGAGTTTTAGTTGTGTCTATAAACCATGCTAGGAGAACAATGTTACACAAAAAGAAATTCCCAAGGCACTAAAAACAGTATTGTAGCAGATTGTAGCACAAAGGAAACAATTCTCAAGGTTATAGCAGATGAACATGAGTAGGAAGTGTAGGTGTAGGTTACACGTTTAACCCAGTATGCTGGGTTGTGATTTTATCCCAACTATTAGTTAAAAATGACTATACTGCTGGGTTGAATGTACCCCAAAATGGGTCAGAAATTTAATCTAGAAGCTGGTGATTAAAATCACTAAAATAAAAACAATTCTACAGCAATACCCTGTTTTCGGCCATGTTTTTACTGTTTTAAATAATGACTATTAAAGTCATTAAAAATAAAGATGATTTAGAGTTCAAAATATGTAATTTGAATATTTTTTTAAATAAATTGGTCTTCAGTTCATTTTTCAGATTTTTCATAGTAGATGTAATAATTCTGCTACTTTTATTATAAACACACATATCAACATTTGGTAAATGTTGATATTTTAGAAATTATGGGATGTGTTAAAAATGTACTGAGTGTGTTAAATAGCAACATTAGGAGTTGAAAAATGCAATCCAATTTTTCCTTTCTTGGAAAGTTCCATTATTTCTTTGTCTGCTTTAGATGTTTTGCTGTGTGAAAGTTGTTCTTTGTCCTGCATGAAAAGTCCTGTGGCTGATTGAGGGTTGGACGCAGAAACTGCATGTTGCAGAGCTTCTGATAAACATTTGTATTCACTCTGACAACTTCTGCTGAACAAACAAACAAATCATGAATCTTCTCCATCTATAGTTGGATGATAAACGATGTTTCACATTATAGTGGCTGGCTGCACTGCTTAGATTAGTCTTAATATGTTAGTCACTGTTTTATTTTTTCTTTAAGAATTACACTTTGGATCAATTATTATTTACTCGTGAATAGGAATTGCTTTTTTTAAAGAGTAGGCTACACTTATTTCTATAATTTTATTTACACTTCTTAGTTTAAATATTTTCCAAAACATATTTTTACATCCTCTTTAGTGCTGTACAGGTCTGAGGGGTAAATTTATTTCCAACTGCATTTCAAGTGTTTTTTTTTTTTTTCTTGTGTCATTCATTCATTTTCTTTTCGGCTTGATCCATTTATTAATCTAAGTATGCCACAGCGGAATGAACTGACAACTTATCCAGCAAATATTTTTATGCAGCGCCTTTCCAGCTACACCCACACACACTCATTCACACACACTATGGGCAATTTAGCTTACCCAATTCACCTATACCACATGCCTTTGGACTGTGGGGGAAACCTGAGCACCCGGAGGAAACCCACACCAACACAGGGAGAACATGCAAACTCCACACAGAACATATACTGCAACAAACATTTACATATAAACCTTTAAATTAAATTAAAGTGGTTATGAGCGATATTAAAATTACTTTATTCAATGAAATATCATTCCTGTGTATAAATGTTAAAGGCTACTTTTGAGAATGTAAACTTTTTACTGTTTTATATAGGAGTGAACAATATATCTAAAGATATACATGAATAACATTTATTACACATAATAATATTTCATTATTTTTTAGAACAGATATTATTGGATTACTTTTTATGTAAACTTACTATTTATATACAAAGCCTCTCCAGAAATTGCATTAAAACATTTGCGACCTCTACTGTTTGCAAATAAAAATGTCACATATTTGTTCATTTGTATGGGTAATGGTAGGTCAGACATATTTGTATTGGGAATATTAACA